AGCTAACCCCGCTCCGACTCGCTCGGCGAACAACCCGCCTACCCCCGTTAATGCCGGCGACCCCGGAACTTCGGACAGGGCAACCGACCGTCGCCAGAAACGTCCAGCTCAGGCCAATTTTGGTGAGGGCCCTTCGATCGTTGAGGTTCTGTTGGGTGCCACTCACGGCGGCCCCTCTTAAGGCAGCTGCGCGTCCAGTCAGCCGAAGTCCACACGCGCCGCCTGCTGGCCAGACGGGCCCCATCGCCCAGCACGCACCTGCTGGCGAGGACTTCGCGCCAACCGTCGCCGCCCCCGCATTGACCGCGCAGCACCTGCAAGTGCTCCTGGCACTGTTACAACAGTAACCACCTATTACAATTGCAACTTCGTCTGACAATGCTGCTACAATTAATGTCACCAAGAAAAAGGAAATGGCAACGCCCACTCGTGCTCCGAAGGCTCTGCACATTGAAGACCAGCCCTCGGAACCTGTCCCAGCGCCCGTCATCGACATCAATGACATCGACGAATATGGCAATGAGGATGGTGAGGCTCCCGTCAACATTGCACGCCACCGCATTCTCGCTCCCGTTCCCCCCTTTCCCCATCTTGGTCCCACACCCGCATCAACCACCTTCATGCGCAAGGGCGTCCGCGATCAGGCAGAAGTCTTCTCTACCATCCAGGCTCACCTGAAGCACATTGACTTCAAGCTGCAAAATGACGACGTCGTTGGCGCGCTCAGCACATCAAAATGCTTATCGAAAAGCGTTTCAAGGTGCTCTTCGTAGCGGACAAAGCCGGTTTTGAAGCAGCCGACCGCTTCTTGCTCTACCAATCCAAGAGCGTGCGGACGTCGTGCTCTTACAAGCTTGCGGTCGCGGATGTGGCGGCTCTCAAGCGTGCACGTACCGGCTACTCTCGTGGCGGTCCCCCTTGTGGCCGCGCCAGAGGAGTGGAAATCAAGGGCTCCCCCCTCCTCACATGCCAGCAGCCACGCTTCAAGGTCATGTGTTTCCATTGTGGCCAGCCTGGCCGCATGGCAAACGCATGCCCCATGGGCGGGCACGGTGCACAAGGCCCCTCACCAGAGATGTGAGTGGGGTTTTCTCAAGGGCGGTGCCCTTTGCCAATATGCAAGAGGCATATTGGGTTGCACCGAGGGTGCATGGCCGGTGGCCAGCCTTGGAGTAAGGCAAAGGGACCTAGCAGGCTAGTGTAGCCCTAGGGGATGAGTAGGCCGTGGGCCTTGGACTATAGTGTAACCATGTATGGACCTTGTATGACGCCACGGCAATTTGATTATTTACCTATTGAAAAAAAAACCAAAAAAAGAAGCATGGTTCTAAGGCGCTTGGAAAGCCCCAGACCATGAGAAGGCACTCGAGAACTTGCAAGCATGCGACAAAAGAGACAAGCAAAAAAAAAAGGAAAAAAAAAACCAAGAACACACAATCGTTCGGCGCTCAAGGCATGGGCAGCAAGAGAGTGAGAGGGAAAGCAAGGGAGGAAGACAGGGAGAGGAGGAGAGAGGGAGAGAGCGAGAGAGAGAGAGAGAGAGAGAGAGAGAGAGAGAGAGAGAAAGAGAGAGAGAGAGAGAGAGAGAGAGAGAGAGAGAGAGAGAGAGAGAGAGAGAGAGAGAGAGAGAGAGCGAGAGCGACCTATAAATGCCTCTGCCCTCTCTTCTTTTCCTCATTATTTAGTTTCACTTTGGTGTGTCTCCTTCCCACCAAGGTAGCGGCTCGGCCGCCGGCGCTCGCGGCCCGGCTTGCGGCCGCACAGAGGACGGCAAATAACATATGGCCCAGGCACAAGACGCCGGGAACGGAGCATATTAATCAAGCACGGACAATATGTGTGGGGATACACCTATCATACACTGTCCCAGCACCTTGATACCCGCGCCTGGCGTGCTAAACCTGCTGGCAGTGAGACTAGTCCACAAAGTCGCCGATGACTACTCCGGTGACAACAGCTGCGCGAGGTCGAAGCGCATGGAACGGAGTACGGACGCGGAAGCAGCAGCGAGAGCAGAAGCGGTCTCGCCCGCCACCGCGCGAGAGAGCACCGTCACAGCCTGCAGGGCGTCGGCGGCCTCATCAACAGCAACCCGCGGTGGCAGCGACACATACACTGGCCCCCACAGGAGATGAGCCACAACCTCCTCCACGCGGGCTCGCTGGCGCCTCGATAGCATGAGATCTGGGGCAACGGGAGGGCGGAGCTCCAGCGCCACATGCAGCACATCCAGCACCCTCGCGAGCCATGCCAAGAAGCTGTTATGAACGGCTATAACGAGGACCGTCCCGGGACCGGCAAAGATGCGGAATAGCCTCCGGGTGAGGCCGACGGAGACGAACCCTGCGGGGTGGGCCCGCAGGAGAGGCCCCCGAGCTCGAAAACTGCTGACGCAGCGCAGCAGGCGAGGGTCGTGCCGCACGGCGTGCACCGCCCCAATGCGGCGCTTGGAGCGGACCGACGGGAGGGAGTTCCGATCGACGAGACGGGAGGGTCTCGCCAAGGCCTCGTGCCTTGCCCAAGTGAAGATGCCCGCCCGGGGAGAGGAGGAGCTCTAGCTCCATCCGTCGTAGAGATCGCTAACGCGAGGAGCGCGGGACGGACAGAAGCCGCTGGAGGTGCCACGGAAAACGATGGCAGCAGAGGTGACGGGCAACGCGGGGGGCGCGGCCAGCGAGGGCGGGGGCATGACGCCCGGGGGGGGGGGGGAGAGGGCGTGGACAACGGGGAGGCGGAAGTAGAGGGGAGGAACGGCTCGCTGGGCGACGAAGCAGAGCTTGGCGGGAGTGGCACAGGAGGGAGCTGCAAGCTGAGGAATGCGCCTGTAGGACGTGTGAGTCCTCCGACCCACACAATGCTTACATGCCCTCGGCTCAGGAGCCATCCGAGGAGGAATTTGTGGTGCACGGATTGGATGAAGGGGGAGGGGGACGGGCCGCGAATGCAAGAAATGTGGCTCGACAAGAGCAACACCCCGAGACGCTCGCCCCTGAATCACAAATCGGCGCAAACACGGGCGAGACAGAAATTCGCGCACCTGAGGATTTGGCGGGAGATGACGAATTGTGGTGACTGGCCAGCAAGTGGGATACCACACCACTGACCAGCTCGCGACTCCCCTTCCTCCTGTGGTCCCTGCCCCCAAAAATTCTCGAGGAATACACCCACTGCCTCCTCACACCACTCATCCGCATCTCGAAGACCCCGCACTGCCTGGGAGCGTGGAAGGTTCTCCAATACCTACTGCGACTGAATCTTACCATAGGCGCAAAAAAAAATCGACTGGGAAGCAGCCCAAGCGCTCCTACACCTGTTCAAGTGCGGAGCATGGACCACCCTGAGGGACAAGGTGCACACCACCCTGACAGCAGGAAAGCAGAGACGCCACCAACCTGGCGCGCAAAGGGTGCACGCGCGAGTGGAAGGACTGATACGCAAAGCCAACCTGTCAAAAGCTCTGACAGCACTGCAATCCACACCGCTGGCAGGCTACTCTCATAGCACTGCGGAGCAAAAACCCACAAGCGGAGAAGCCTCTCCCAGGATAGCTGGGAGCAGAGAGACCAGCCCCACTTAGCATCACACTCGTTACCCTCCGCCAGCTCCTCGCGTCCTGCCCCAATGGAGTGGGAGCAGGGATCTCAGGCACCTGTTTCGAGCACCTCTGTGACCTAGCGCTTAGCAACGGAGAACTCTGCGAGCACCTTCTCACGGTCTGCAACCTCCTGCTTGGTTCATCCCTGCCTAACGAGATCATTGACCTTGTGCTCCCAAGCAGGCTCCAACCACATGCAAAACCGGGGGGGGGGGGGGGGGGGGGGGGGGTGTACACCCCATAGCAATAGAGGAGTGCCTCCTCTGCCTCATAGGGAAAGTGGTGCTAACGATGCTAGGGATGGAGATCCGAGGCTTCCTACTCCCAGTAGAATTTGGAGTAGCGGTCTTGGGCGGGTCGGAATGTGTGATCCATGCGATCCGCGCGTACCCCGAAGCCCATCCCGATCACGCCATCATCACACTCGACTTCGAGAACGCGTTCAACAGCGTCGAGTGGGCGACCATCTATAATAGCATCGCTTGGTCATCGCTCCACTTGCTGCTGCCGCTCGCCCATTCCCTCTACAGCCACCCGTCCCCCTTCATCCTACCGGACGAGTTCGACGCGGATCCACTAACCAGCTGTAGGGGAGTTTGAAAGGGCGACCCCCTCGGGCGCTCCTGTTCGCGGCAGCGATCCAGCCGGCTCTACTCCACGCCGCCATTTCATACCCAACCGTTCTGGTAGCGGCCTATGCAGACGGCATCAGCCTGGTCGGCCCACCAGGAGAAGCGACGAAGGCCTTCCGCCCTCCTCACCCAGCAGCTCCAGACGTGCGGACTCAGCTGCAATGTGAGCAAGAGCATGGCGTGGAGCCCCACCAATCTCCCCGGGGACATGCTCCCGCCAGAGCTCTCGTTAGTGGAGGGCGAGATCCGTGTCCTCGGGAGCCCGGTTGGCACGACAGACTTCTGCTGAACCTTCTTGCAGCACGAACTCCAAAAGGCAGCATCCCCCTTAACCCTTATCGCGGGACTGTTATAATCACAATAGGCTCAGATGTGCCTAAAATGAGAGAAAATGTGCACAGTCAGAATTCCGTCAGCCAGATTCAAATATTGATGCCGATCTGATGTGTGCCTCAAACGGTGATCTGTAAATTGGATCTGGAGCGCGTTGATGTCGCCTATCAGCAGCAAGTTGAATCATAAAAT